GTACACAGGAAATATGGTATCAGTGGTACCAATAGAACCCCAGCAGGGTATAAGTATATAATTTAACTCTGTAAGCACCCCAGCAGGGTGGACCTGTACAGGTCAGGTATGTGGTATAGGAATACCAGCTTCCCCAGCAGGGTAGATTGGGATTTTTTACTGGGCTACACCCAGGTATGTGTATGTATGAGGATGGCACAAAATCCACCTATTACCATGCTTAAAATGACAATATACACATATAGGTGGCACAAAATCCACCTGAAAGCAGCAATACTTAAAGGGCCTCACCCAGTTATATATAGGTATATGAAAAAAAGTGGCACAAAATCCACCTAATATTAGTGGCCTGATAGTGGTCCACCAATGTATGGGACTGGCAGTCCTTATGGGAGGTTAGATGGGTGATGCACTAACCTGCTGACCCCTGCCTGATAGTGTGTGGCAAACGCGGTCGGGAGCCGAAAAAACGGAGACCGTGGGTCTCCCAAGATGGCGGCCGTAACTCTCGCGAGACGCGAGATCCAATATGGCCGCCGGAGGGACGGGAAAGAGGTTTCCCGCCGTGTCGGCTAGTGAGAGCGGCTGAGAAGCCGCGCGGCGGACAAATAGAGAGGAGGGTGAGCGTTACCCTCGATGAGGAACCAACGATCCGATCTCCCATGCAGGGGGATCGGAAAACGTGGAAAAACAAAATAATAACACAGAACAAGGGGGGGAACATAAAATAAATAATAACAATAAAACAATAAATAAAGGGAATAAAACAGAAAGGTACCAATGTAAGTCCCTGAGGGTAGGGGGGGAAAACTGAGAGGGACAGTATAAGGCAGAAGGACAGAAGTCCTAGGAAAACAAATAGGGCAATAATAATATATAAAGCATCAAAATAAACCAACAGTATGAAACATGAAAAGTAAGGGAAGAGCCAAAAACTCTGACCTGTCTGCTGATGGAGCAGTAAAGAAAGAGGGGGAGGAGCCTTATCTCTGTGAATACTATGCTTCCTATTGCATTTTGATTGGTTAATGTTTTCACTTTTCTTTACTGCTGTGTGAGTTAGTAAAGAGAGTTTAATGCAAAATATGAAGCCTCCTGTCATGTGGTAAAATTCTAATAAAGAATACAATGAGGTGACTATTTGCAAGCAAATATGAGAAAGGCTATATATTGTGACATTTGGTAGTTCTATGCAAAACACCCTCCATGTGCCCCACCTCACTTTTTTTTAATTGTCTGTATTTTCGAGTCTAAACAGCTGTCTCCATTTAACCCTCTCTACCAGCTATATACTATCTCTATTTTTGGCCAGTGTTTGTTCCTTTTGTTTCTATTTCATAGTTTCACTCAAACTTACAAAGTGCTCTGTTCTTATCAGTAATGTTTATATTTCTCACCTTCCACCGGACCACCAACAGTTTTATCCACTGCTTCTTCACCAGGAAACGTTCACTATACTTCTACAGTTTTCCCCACTACTGTCTTTGTGTATATACACCTGTCGTTTACCTATATAGGACACACTTTCTCCCAATCTCTCTTTCCTGACGCAGTATATGTTCTTTACTATAACCTGCATATATTTTACTGCAATTCTTTGTGTATGTATACTAAAATGCTGGGGTGTTGAGTGTTGTGTTGAAGACTAACACATGCATTGAATATATATGCCACATGCAGCTACTCTAAGTGTTACTTCCATAGGTGGTGATGGGAGAACACTGATTGGATAATTTGTATGGCCACTTAATTTTTGCTACTCTATTAAGCAGCAACCAGAAGCTCAAATTATGGGTATCTAGGGTGATCCAATTCACTAAGCCCTCTGAATGTCATAAGATGGTAAAGCATTTGTGGAGAGATCCTAAACAATAAGTGATAAGAGGCTGTGGTAGTAGAATTTATGTCACAAGAGACTAATGCTCACTTTGATATAAATGTCCCTACTGTTGAATGTTCACCATGATATGTGCCAGTTGCTATTAAACTAGCAGTTAGAGCATAACTACGAAGTATGACACCATACCATTTTACAACATTGTGTTTATCATGGTGTATGTCAACAAGGAATCAGGAATCTACATCATGCCAAAACTTGAAGATTACTTGTCCAAGCATCCTAAGACACATTTGTTCCTGTGTATGATGCATTTTTTTGTATGTCTTTGGAACAGGAAAAGATTGTCTATATGTAGTATAATAGGATTATCGATGTAAGCACAATGAGTTCTCTGTGGACTGAACCCATAGTTCATGACCTATCTGTGGTTTATTTTTTTTGATACAGATGAGGAAGTAGAGAATAATTGTGATTGCAAATTGCCTGATTATTGTGAATATGGTATTTATCCTGAGTAAACTACAAATCAAGGTCAAAGAAGGAATTAGAGACCTTTGCTATAATAACATATTATGTCCTCTAAGGATTATGATAGTGGATCAGAACCACACTAGAGATGCCATACCAATGGAGAATTTCTATATTACTTCATTGGCTTTATCAATTACCTGTCAAGGTATTTAAGCCCTTGAAAAGGCATTTTGGAAAAGAAAGACCAAAATCCATTGCTACTTACAGCGACTCAAGTAAATGTAGACTTGGAAATTGTCTAATGCAAGTAGGACAGATTTTTACCTTGTTGCTGATCCCTCGAGAGCAAAACTATGCTCAAAATTGAAGGAAACGAGTACAGTATTTACTTGCCACCGCTTCCATCATCATCTCTAAGGACATGGCATAGACACCGTGAAAACCATAGAAGCTGACCGACAGACACCGATATCTGTTTTGTGTTCCCCAATCCCTTAATATGTTAATCACATTAAAGAACTACTGCCATAATGTAGTACAAATCTGATCCTAAAAGTATACTACACAAATTGCAACATTCAGTAGGTGCTGTATGCCACAGTGCAGACTAATCATGCTGTTTGAAAATCATAGCTCAATGGCTACTAATGATTATCCCAGTATTTAGCTTCATCGGTGGTGTCATCAGTCAAATGCAGATGTTCAGCTACAGTTCTTCGCTGACAGGTAACTATGCTCATTTAGAGTGCATCCTACATTTAACCCCTTAAGGACTAAACTTCTGGAATAAAAAGGGAATCATTTCATGTCACACATGTCATGTGTCCTTAAGGGGTTAAATTGATCAGCTTGTGGCATTTCAATTTGGTCAGTTCTGATTTAATCAGAATTGTGTATTCCCCGTGTCAGGAGAAATCTAACCCTGCTTAAATATAAATTGCATTTCATCCTGTACCATTATATATATTTTTTTAGTACTATAGGCTGAGAACAGACTTAAGTCCATCAAGTTCAGTTTGAACATCACCGAACAAACCAATGTAATTCATGATGACCTGAAATGTCATGCCATTTTGAAAGCACTGTTGTAGTAGTGCGTACATGTAGCCAGAGTTCACTACTTGCAGGCAGTTTGCCAAACACTGCCATCACTAATTTACTAGCTGAACTTTGGAACACGTTGGCAAAAAAAACAGGTGTGTGTTGTGTGTGCTGATGTCACAGAATTCACATTCACCACCTAGAATTCTTGTTCTGGACTGGCTAATGACACCACAAATTTTATAATTTTAACTGTTTAGTTGATAACTCCCCTATTTGCTATTTTTATGTAAGATTGACATTTTTAAGAATACCATATAAGGTGTCTAACTTGGTATCTTTAAATATGGAAATCCCATATAAGGGTACCAATTAAGGGAATACTAAATAGCAGAAAGATCACCATTAAGAAAAACTCCATAAGTGCATGGCCAACCCAGTTGCTGAACAGGGGCCCAGTTGGGCACTGCAGCCTTCTAATAATTTCAGCTCGGAAAGTCTGGAAGGAAGTGAGAGTAGGTCACTTCCTCTCTGATTTAGATAAAGCACCACAAGAGGAGGCAGAACGGAGGAAGTACGGACAGGAGGGAAGAGAGCAAGCTCCAGCCAGCCCACACTCCCCTGAGCCACAAGCAGGACTCCAGGGAAGCCACCCTCCTGCACATAAAAGTTATGTTAATAGGAGGGTAGGTAAAAAATACAAGAATTAGGACGTGTGTATCTATATGTCAATGTATGTATCTGTGTGTGCATATCTGTATATCAATGGGTGTATCTGTGTGTGTATTTGTCAGTGTGTCATGTATGTGTCAATGTGTTTATATGTGTGTATCTGTGTGTCAGGATGTGTGTATGTCAGTGTGTGAATAAATGTATGAGTATGCATTAGTTTGTGTCAATGTTATTATTATTATTATAGGTATTTATATAGTGCCAACAAACTAATGTGTCAGTGTTTGTATGTCAGTGTGTGCATATGTATGTGTATGCATTTGTGTTGTATGTTTGTGTGTCAGTGTTTTAGTGTGTCTGTCTGTGTGTGTGTGTGTGTGTGTGTGTGTGTGTGTGTGTGTGTGTGTGAATGTGTATTTATATCTGTGTAAATCAAAACACAGAAATCAAACACTAACATTACATGCAAACACACCCTTGAAACCAAACACAGACATTAGATACAAGCACACCCCTGAAGTCAAACATTAATATTACATAGAAGTACACCACAGCATTCCAATGCCAACACTATGCACAGATACACCCCTACAAGCACACACATACTCCATACAAAAAAACATGATTACATTCAAACACACAAACACTGCTCACAAACACAATTCTGCAAGGATGAGCAAATGATAGATTCCCAGGTGGCTTAGTATGGTGGGGGTTGTGCAACAGATGAGAATCTGCCTGTTGGCAACCCTTGCGCTAGAAGGGGGCTAAAAAATATTTCTTCCACCAGGACCCTCACTAAATTTGTTCCACCACTGTACACACACAAACATAATCACAGACATACACACACATAATCACAGACATGACAGATATATACATACATAATCACAGACATACACACACGCACATTATCACAGATACACAGATGGCCATTGGGCATACCGGGCAAATGCCCGGTGGGCCGCAATGGCCGTGGGCCGAGGCCGGCAGGGGAGATCACAGAATCTCCCCTGCCAGCCCCTGCAGGGCCAGCGCTACCCGAGCGCCGGCCCTGCTGTATGCCTTCATGGGCCGGTGGGGAGATCAAAGATCCCCCCCTCCCAGGCTAAAGGTAAGAAGGGAGGGGGGATATAACTTTTTTTTTTAATTTAAAAAATATATATTTTAATTTAAATAAAAATAAATTCACACACACAGCACCCAGACACACACAGCACCCCCACACACACACACAGCAACCCCAGACAGACACACAGCACCCCCAGACACACACACAGCAACCCCAGACACACACACAGCACCCTCAGACACACACACAGCAACCCCAGACACACACACAGCACCCTCAGACACACACACAGCAACCCCAGACACACACACAGCACTCTCAGACACACACACAGCAACCCCAGACACACACAGCACCCCCAGACACACACACAGCAACCCCAGACACACACACAGCACCCTCAGACACACACAGCAGACACACACACAGACACACACACAACCCAGACACACACACAGCACCCTCAGATACACACATAGCACCTCCAGACACACACAGCACCCTCAGACACACACACAGCAACCCCAGACACACACAGCACCCCCAGACACACACCACCCTCAGACACACACAGCACCCCAGACACACACAGCACCCCCAGACACACACACAGCAACCCCAGACACACACACACACACCCTCAGACACACACTCAGACACACACAGCAACCCCAGACACACACAGCACCCTCAGACACACACAGCAACCCCAGACACACACACAGGACCCTCAGACACACACACCACCCCCCCAGACACACACAGCACCCCCCCACACACACACAGCAACCCCAGACACATACACAGCAACTCCAGACACACACCACCCTCAGACACACACAGCCCCTTTCAGACACACACACAGCAACCCCAGACACACACACAGCAACCCCAGACACACACACAGCAACTCCAGACACACACACAGCACCCCCAGACACACACACAGCAACCCCAGACACACACACAGCACCCTCAGACACACACAGCACCTAAACACACACAGCACACTCAGACACACACAGCGCACCCAGACACACACAGCACCCTCAGACACACACAGCGCACCCTCAGACACACATATATATTTTTATATATATATATATATATATATAATATATAAAATAACCCTCAGTGAGTTAACAAAGAAAATTAGAAACCTTGAATGTGATGGCAGATAAAAACACCCTTACACACAGCACCCCTCTTACATACACACACACTGCGCCCCTCACACATACAATACGTCCAACTATATATATATATATATATATATATATATACACACACACACACTACAGCACCCCTCACACTGCACCACTACACACATTACGCTCCAGATACAAGCTAGATCCCTTACTCTATATGCACTCTTAATCCTCTATACACACACGCACACACAATCTCCTATACACACTCAGGGTCCTTTAAACACTAGATCTCCTACACACACACACACACACACTGCACCACCTACACACACACTATATTCCTTGTCAGCAAACACATACAACATTCTCTAAACACACCCTCTCTACAACCCCTACACACACTACGTCACCTATACACACACACTACAGCCCGCTACATACCCTATAACACTATGCCCCCTATACACAAACTCTCTACAGCCCCTAGCCACACATATTACACCACAAACACAAATTAAATTGACCTATTTACAAAATACCACACCACACTCTACACACACGCAATCCCACAAGCAGGCTCCAAACACATGCACCATACGCTTTCCTGGCCCTTTTGTCCTCTGGTATCCCACTTATGGAGACACCAGAGACAATTTCAAAGCAAACACAGGGCAAGCATGTTAATAAATTTGCTTGCGCTGCGCAGAACAAATACAGGGCCTTTTTCTAATGCCAGAGTTCTTCAGCGGGGCTCTGCGCATTGAACCAACATGCTCACTTTGAGAGGGGGCGTGCTTGTCATTAGTGATGACAAAACACACCCTCTGTGGCCCCGCCCCCTTCTTAGGGGGGCGCTCTGATTGAAAAATGCCCGGGCCTAATTTTTTTCCCAGTCCGGCCCTGCCCACTCATCATCACAGATATACACACACAATCAATCACATCCACCGCAATGACGTCATATCCTGGCTGCCGGCACAGTGCAGGGCATGCAATGGAGCTCTGCAAAGAGAGCATAGTAAATCAAGGTCATACACTTATATTTTTGGTGTCATACACTGATATTTTTGGGGCAGAGTAGGCACCTCCTTTGTGGGCAGGCAGGTGCCTTCTCTGCCAAATAATCAAGCCCTTGAGCACTGGCACTGTAGGTGGGGGGATAGGGGGCAAGCAATAATCTGGGGGTGGACAACCCCGCCCCCCCCCCTTGACTCCCTGTAGCAAAACCATATCCTCCGCTCCCATGATGTAATCTCATTATAGAGGTGGATATTGCACTTCCATAACACCCAACTCGGGTCTGCCCCCACTCCGCCTGGTCTCTTCCCTTGATTTGCTCTGCTAACATAGTGTATAGATGAAATTGTGTGCTCTTTAAAAAAGAGAAAACACAGTTTTGGCATGAAACTACACTTTAAGTGCCTTTTATTATATATTAAAATTAGTACACAAAGTGTGTTTGAACTAATTGACTTATGTAACTGCTTCCTGGAAAAAAATTGATTCCTAATCTGACTTATGCATCCATTTACAAGGGTCATAAAGAACTATCTGCTCAATAGCCTCATTTTCCATTGACGTAATTGAACTTGAGTGGGATATGTTTACATTGATAGACAGACCATGTATAAGTACCAATATAACCTAAATAAATGGGAGATAAATCTGCTCCATACAGCCTAAACAGAAATATAATTTACATTATGCATGTACAACAAAGCTAACAATAAATAAATCACTTATATGAGAGTTACAGAAAAAAGAGCAGAAAACTGGACTTCAATTTTGCAGTGACGTTTATTCTGCCATCAAACAAGTGTAGGAAGTAACATTTCAAACTCTTAAGGTCTTCGACAAGACTGTTTGTGTTCCTATAATACTTGTGCATGGTACAAAAAAAATTGTCTCCTCTAAATAGCTGTGTCCAACAAAAATAAAAGTGATTCAAATTGTTTGGGAAAAACTAGTCAAACCTACAGAAATAGTGCAAAAATGCACCTATGTATGCAATAAAAAAATCATATTCTTCTCCATTTCTTACCCTTTTTCTGGCACCACGGATGTAACACTGAATCACAAAACAAACAAAATGTCTAATGCCCCTTTCTTTCATGATTTGGCCATGTGATGATTCAGCGTTGTGGGATTCAGACAAATCACCGACTGACCAGATTTAAAGAATCATGATTTGGTTGAAACCAAATGCACAAATCTAGTACCTGTCATGCTTTATTGAGCCAAAGAACACCACCAGAACATTCTTGAGATGCTAGAACATATCTACTAGTGGAAAAGGGATTTCCCTGTGTTTCAAAAATGTATTTCCAGTATCATCTGGCAAATATATCATATTACTAGAGCAGGGGTAGACAACCTATGGCACTAGTGCCATGCACGGCACTCAAGGTGTCTTTGCACGGCACTCAGGGCTGCTAGAGCCAAACAGGCTCTGGCCTATCAGGAGTCCTAGATAAACTTCAGATGTCTGCTAATGCAAAAAGGTGGTGAAGGGAAATCCTTAATTTATGCATTGCAGCACGTAGAGGAAGTTATCTCAGATCACTTCATTCCAGCACTTGTGAATGGGAATCCACACTGGAGTAGGGCAGCCCGCAACAGCTGTTGCAGCTCGTGTCCTTGAGCTGTACCTGGCTGCCCTGGTCCCCAGTGGAACCCAGGGAAGCCACCCACACTGCTAGATATACACAGAGCTGCAGAATAACCCTCCCCTCATACAAATAATACGAACAGCCCACACACAAACATACACACAATCCGCACAAACTCAACACCACTGACAATCCACATACATGCATACAACCCCACATGCAGCCTCTCACATGCAATACCCCAAACAGCCCCACAATACCACAAACTACTCATAAACATATACAATATAATAGCTCATATACACACAAATACAATGATACAAAGCAACTACAGTATACGTAACAAGCAGAATACAGCAACATACACACCTCAATTTATAAAAATAGGACCGGCACGCTACAGGACATCACAATCCTATTTCGGGACACAGTGCTGCTAAAAGGTTGCCTACCCCTGTACTAGAGTCTCTAAATGTTGACAAGACTACTTTATAATGAGCACTGATATATTTGAAGATTTATTAAACTGTGCGTTTTCCCCTGTCAAAACTGAATACTTGTATAATGTACGTGTCAGTCTAGACAATTAGATTTCATGAATAAATTCAAATTAATTCATTCAAATTCTCAAATGAATTAGAGTATTCAGGAAAATCACAAATATTTTGATACCAGTTCTAACAGTTATTAAAATAAACTTTGTATAAGATATTAAAGGGTCCCTCCAGACCCCTAAATCACTTTAGTATGCTGAAAGGCTTTATGTGTGAATAGTGTGCCCTCTTTTTTCATTTCACAAAAAGTGCAGATTTCAATAGATATTGACACTTTTATAACCGAATATGGTTACACCCCCTTGGCTTTCAAGCAGACAGCAGGCAATGTTACTTCCTGGTTTGGTTAGCTCAGTGGAGCTAAACTCAAGAGGTAGCATTTGCTCAGAGCACATGACTTACAATGACTTCTCATTGAGCTGCATTGGGAAGTATGTGATTGGACAGCCACAGAAAGTCTGGGTGAGGTTAGAAGGGGAGGACTTGCAAACGCTGCAGACAAGAGAATTGCAGGTTTTGCAAACTGTTTTAGATATACCCCTAATAGAGAAATGCATTACAAAATGCATGCAAGTTTTAATTTGGGGTATATCTACTAAACTGTGAGTTTTATGTATTTTGTACATAGGCAGTGGAGTGTCCCTTTAAAGTTCTCAAGTAGGCATTAGCCAATAGAATAAGCTATCAAGCTCAATTTGTCAATGCTTGCTTTACAAAATCATTGTCTTCCCTATAGAGGATAATGCAGATTTGGATTGATTGCTTAATATAGCATGACAGGTACTA